ATGTGTGTGTATATATATATATGTGTGTATATATATATTGAGTATACTCGCACACACAAACTGATTTAGGCGATTGTGGAATGATGCTGACGAATATGTGTTTCATTGTACTTGTACAAGTAAATGGAGAAAATATTAACATCAGGAATGCAGATGACACAGTTGTAATAGCAGGTTCCGAAAAGGAACTTCAGTTGCTTCTAGATACTGTTGTAACAGAAAGTGAACGTTAAGGATTATTGTTGAATGAATGTAAAGAAAACAGAATGCATCGTAATATCCAAAAAAGCAGCAAACCCTAGTTGTAATCTCATTAGCAAAGGTGAAAAGATCAAACAAGTCCAACAGGTTAAATATCCAGGATATAATATGATAACATCTGACGCCAAATGTTCCACAGAAATAAAAAGAACTACAATGGCTAAGGCTAGTTTCAATAAAAATGAAACCAATCCTGAATAATAGAAACATCTGGCACTGGATGATGATGATGACTTGAGCTGTTGTTCGAAGAGTTTCAAGGGTCTACACCACTTCTCTCTGTTCTATCGGAGATGGGTGTAAAGTTAGAGGTCCTGCACCTGTACCGGACTGACTGGGATGTTAGACATGTCCAACACAGGAATATTTTCAAAAATTACAGTGGAATCCTGTTATAACGAGAGGGAGGGGACCGGTGCGAACTGTACGTTAAAGCAGGATTCTCGTTATTAGGGATTCAGTAATAAATTCAAGGGAAATAGTAAAGTAGGCCTAATCTATGAGTTTGGTGTTCTGTTTATTTCTTTTTGTATTTCCCCAGATGATGATTTTGTTCAACATGATCTCTAGGTTTTACTTGATCAAAAATCGAATCAGATTTCTTTCTCTAGCATTAGCAATGTTGACAAATCGGATTTGGCGATCAGAAAGAAGGGGCTCTGGCTCTAGGCTAACTCGCTCGCTATGTTGTTCCCCACCCCACCACACCCCGTGGTGCGTTGCGTCTGCTTGCGCACGTCACACATTCACTCCATCTATCACAACATTGTGACCTCTCCATCCCGCACCAGAGAAGTGAGAGGTTCGGTATAATCTAGACTGGGCTCTCCTATCACGCGATGCGTTCTGCTTGTCTGCGCATGCCACACCCTCCCTACTCATTCGCTCCGTCCTTCATTGTTGGTTGGCGTGGGCTCTCTCGTTCTTTGTTTCGCTGGATCACCAAAAAAACTTTCTCAACTGGCGAGGTTTTATATGTTTAATTGGTCTGTGTGCTGTGCACAGCAGCAGCAATGTTCCGCTATAACCGACTCGCGTGACTGTCTGATTGCGCAATAGCAGTATTTTCTTTACAAAGATAAAGAAGGGGAAAACGGGGTTTTAGAATAGCGTCTGTATAACAGACTTCTCGTTGTTTCAGGACTCGTTATAAGTGGACTCCACTGTACAAAATAACCTCATCCTCAGTTTGGATACAGGAGAAAAAAATTATCATTGTTTTTAATGCTTTCGCTACAACATGTGGCAGTGGCATTAGATGCGGGTCTTCTAAAGGTAAAGTACAGCTCCCGCTCTCACACTAATTAACTTACTCGTAGTTACCGTTCTCATTATCCGGGTCACCGTAAAGATTACAGTGGGGTTGGCTATGTTAGGTTGTCATTTTGGCAGATTTCCTGCCGTAGGTCAGAATTCTGGCAATTTTTAAAGTCGTATGAGGGGCTCTCGTGGCCTAGAGGTTAAGGTATTCGCCTCTCATTCAAAGGATCCGGGTTCGAATCCGGGTAGCGACAGAAACTTTTTCTTCTCTAAAATTGTCTCCTTTCACCTCCTTCCTGCTCTCTAGCAATGTTCTGTCGTCTGCTTTCGTCTCCACTTTCTGACCCCACCCCCCCTCACCTCCTTTGCCCCTCCTCTGGGCTCCTGACGTTTTCTGCACCCTTTCTACTGCTACTCCTTGGCTCCTTCTTACTGCTGTCTTTCAGCCACACCATGATCTTCCGGCAGGAAAGATCTACACCTAAACTTCTCGGACAAAGGCAAAAAATCTCGGAGGTTCCGTGTGCAAGTTGAGCACATTAAAGATCCCGTGATGGTCTAAAATCGATAAGAGTAGGCTTCGGCCACCACCCGGGCAAAATTCAAAATTTCCTGCCAACTGAAAATGTATAATGTGTCCCGCGCGCTCATATGACCTTTCGGAGTTGCGAGCGCCGTAAAACATATACCAAAAAAAAGTCGTGTTACTGAAAAAAATGGTAAAATGGTATAGGTTTAACGCCCCTGTCAACACTACATGTATTAGGTTATTTAAGGGGCGGAACCTCCTAGTTTAACGTCCGTCTCCGATAGGACCGAGCCAAGTGAGAAGTTCGTGTAAAGTGTCTTTCCCAAGGACACAACGTCGGACCGAGCTCAGGCTCGAACCCCCGAACTCGCAATCTCACGATTACGAGTCCGGTACCCTAACCACTAGGTTACCCGTGTGACTGAGACGGGAAGAAAGTCTCTAGGCAGTTTGGCTGTTTTTGGGGCAGTTTCTTTACATGTACTTATGTTGTATTCTACCTGTAATAAGGAACTACCTGAAAGTCTATCAGTGTTCGTGACGTCCGCTGATGATCTATAAAAGTTAACTCTTACATCAAGTAAAACACAAAAATATCGTCCACAGTCGAGATAGGCAGTTTAATGCAAGTTTTGGCTGAAATCCTGAAAATGATCTGACAACCCGTTTGCTATATCATTCAGGTGTTCCTCGTGATTTTTCCACCACAATACGCCTTTGAAGTGGTTGAACACAGACATGTTCTCAGTGAGTAAAGTCACAGTCTGACACATTGTAGGCTGTGGCTTCAGGAACAATGGTGGGGTTTCCTCCCAAACTGAACCGGTTGTATCTTTCTGTCGTTGCCTCTCCGCCAAATTGCAAGAGAAACTGATTGGAATCAAACATCTGTAACTTGACTTTTACTGTTCCGGGAAACTGGTTCAGAATTTCTCTGTTAGGAAAAAGAAAGAATAGGAAAAAAAACTAAGGAATGAATGACTGAAAGAACGAATGAATGAATGAATAAATGACATCATCAGAATAACGCGACTCCAAAGAACACAGAGAGACAAGGAATAAAAAGGATGGGAGGGGGGGGGCGAAGGGGAAAGGTTCGGGGGAGGGGGGTGCTCTGTCTAGGCCTACGCTTCGACATATAGCTGCGAGGGTGGGCAAATGTTTGTGTCAAGCGTGCGGTGTCTAATCACGTGAGACAGTGCGGCTTCAGCCCCCGAGACCACATTAGAAGCGAGAGAGCGAGGCTGCGCGAGAACGAGACAATGTATAACAGATATTTATGTTTAAATGTCCATACTATGAGCGGTCCCCGCGTGAGTCCCGCTAGTTTTGAGCAATATTATACTTCGCTACCTTTTTTTTTGCTTACCGCTCGGCATGGCTCATTTTGAGAAAGCGACACCACCGTGCCCCAACATACCAGTGTTTGAAGATTTCATCCCCCGGCTGTCTAGAGGTTTCCATGTGCTCCACGTGAGTCTCGAAAATTACTCACCACAGTCTCTTGAGTCGTGTTTCTGACCCATGGGCCAGTCAGCACACCAGTTTTCACCTCAACTGTTTCCCGCTAGCTTGCCGCTTATTTCAATCTTGAGAAAAGCTGCTCATAGTATGGCCACCCCCAAGTTTATAGCTCATCACTAGCCTCACGCTAGCTTCAGCTCCCGCTTGTAATGTGGCCTCACCCCAATAGAACCATCAGTTGCTTTGTCTCGGCCTTGAGCCATGCAACACCCCAGTGATATTCAGTCGGTGGAAACTTAAGCGCCAAGGCTTAAGGAACAAACCAAAGCAATTTTTTTTCTTCCTGACAGAAGTCGGGACGCCTGATTAGATGGAGATATAGTAAATATTGATAGACACACAGACCAATCAGATCACTTTTTGAGTTATTATGCCGCTGAAGTTTCGTTTGAGTGTTCTTGGAGCTTCGTTTTTATTATCGGAATTCACTACAGTGCAACTCAAATTCAACGAAAATTTGGATTTAACGAAAAGTGATGGGTTCCCCGTTTATTTATTCATTAAAATCGGTTTTAAAAAATAAATAACTCGGATTCAACGAATACATAAATGAGCAAGTTGGAGTGGGAAGAGCCCCCGTTGATGTGACTCGCTCATTTTCCTCCCGTCTGTAGAGAAGCAGAGATGCAAACGCGTCACAGTCAGTTTTTCCCCGGCCACTGATCAATAATACAATGACAAGCTAGTCTTGACATAGATCTATGTAATGAATTGTGCACTAGTCTGTGGAATCAAACGTTGCAGTATGCTAGGCTTTACACAGTAACACAACTTGTTCGGCAAACAATACATCATAGATGCAAGATGACATATGCGTGCTTTTGAACAAATCGGCCTTTTTACAGTGTGGCTTGGTAGAGTTGTAATTTGTTTTAATTTTCCAGAATATCTGCGGTATGGAAAAAAAAAAGAAATCAAAATCAAAATGCCTCTCATTTGAAACCAAGCTACTTTTGATTGAGGAAGTCGAATGCATTATGCGCTGCTTGCGCGGTGCCTGTAATTATCTACACAAAAACCTCATGTTTGCTGTTACAAACACTCGGATTAAACGAAACTGAAAGTTAGGCCTGATGACTTCGTTGGATCCGAGTTCCATTACGTTATGTTTTGCCTCTTAAAAAAATTTTAGAACTGTTTTGTTTTTATATAAGTCAAAGAAGTAACATATTGGTGAAGAAAACCAGGTGGGGCTGAAGCTGCAAGCCCCACCCCACAAGACGCCACTGGGCGTTTGCACTAACTCCCTACCACAGACATGTGGGTCGTTTTGAATGCCAGCTGCGTTCTTCTGCTTTTTGTAGGTGTATAATTGGCTAGACTAGACCCGCCACAATCGACAGGGAGCCACAAAACAGAGCTGAACACAAGACTTCGTAAGTTCGGAGAGGAGATGCTACCCCAACACTGGCTGGTTGTGGTGTGTGAGGGGTACTCTACAGGGTTGAAAAGTTTGTTTTATGTTTTAATAAGAGTTTTACGGCACTTGCAACACTATCATGTCGTATACATGCCGAAGATTGAAGGTATTTAAGAGAGTAACAAGCACAAAAAAAAGGAGGACGATAGATGTTTGACAGGAAATAAAGAAGGGGTAAACCACACCAGAGCCCCTGCCAACCACCCAAGTTGAAGAGTTTACACTGAGACGGAGAGGTCACTCGCGCTACCGTTATCTGGCGGCTCGGGGTTGTTGTTTTTACAACCATCCCACAACTGAAAGAACTGTATTTGCACACATGACTGCTCCCAATTCAAAACTGAATTCTCTGAGTTGAAGAGAACTCGTCATTATCTTTCGCCTGCATTCCACTGAATTCCTACCTAAACAGGATCCGTAAGGATTCCCCACCCAGCCTGCCCGCTGTGTGACTGCCAGGATGATACAGAATCACACCACCTCTTTACCTGCCCTGCACTTAGCGTCCTGCATAGTACCTATTGCAGGCGTTCACGAACAGGCCAAAATAATAGTTTCCCATTCCCTTACATGTTGATTGTTAGGTAATGTTTTGTTCATCCAACCAAACAACCCCCCCCCCCCTCCCAACCGCTCCAAATATTTTAAAAAAAAATTTTTAAACCACCACCACCATTGCACCACCGCCGCCGCCACCACCACCACCACCACCACCAAAAACAACAACAACTACAACAACAACAATAACAGCAGCAGCAGCAACAACAACAACAGCAACCTCAACAAAACTATGCAAGCGATCCATTCAACTCTCGCAGTTACTCTCCATACTTTGCACAACGACGCTCACCTAAATAGCAAAGCAGCAACGTCATCAGATTCAGCGTTCAATCCATCAAGAATAATTTCGTCTTTCTTTAAGAAAGCTGCCACATAGCCCACAATCTTGTTGTTCTGCGACTTGTTTCTGGCCACCAGTAGTCTAGAACAGACGGCTAAAGTGGACACAAACAAACTGTTATCGTAACCTCTCAGGCGATGGTCAAACTGAATTAGATCCTCCAGACTGGATTCATCTAAAGGTGCGATAGAAATGTCGTCTGCCACACCCTTGATCGTCTTCACCTTGTTGTCTAGAAGCTGAACATCGGTAACTATGTGACTTATTATGTGGCCTTGCTGGGGATCCGACAGTTTGAAGCCAAGATTGCTGGGGAAAGAATGTTTTATAAAGATGTAAAATTGTGGAAAATGTATTTTTTTATAATAAATGATAATGATTGCATTTACATAGCGTATGTCCACGCTCTACAGCCTGCTCTCTGCACTCTACAACTAGTATTATCCCAAAAGACTCTAAAACACTCTGAAATATTCTCGGCTTTCCGAGAACTATACAGTGCAAGCAGCGGATTACACGCGCTCAAACACAAACAAACAGACAAGATTTTTTCGATGTCTATATCCCGGCACCGATTCCAACCAGGGTAAATTGAAGAAAATTCGTGTAAAAGTGCCTTTCCCAAGGACAAAACATCGGGGCGCTGTCGGGATTCGACACACACCCTTAGGGTTGCGAGTCAGAGAGCCTTACGACAAGGCATATGGAACACAATTGAGTAATACATGCCGAAGATTGAAGGTATTTAAGAGAGTAACAAGCACAAAAAAAAGGAGGACGATAGATGTTTGACAGGAAATAAAGAAGGGGTAAACCACACCAGAGCCCCTGCCAACCACCCACGTTGAAGAGTTTACACTGAGACGGAGAGGTCACTCGCGCTACCGTTATCTGGCGGCTCGGGGTTGTTGTTTTTACAACCATCCCACAACTGAAAGAACTGTATTTGCACACATGACTGCTCCCAATTCAAAACTGAATTCTCTGAGTTGAAGAGAACTCGTCATTATCTTTCGCCTGCATTCCACTGAATTCCTACCTAAACAGGATCCGTAAGGATTCCCCACCCAGCCTGCCCGCTGTGTGACTGCCAGGATGATACAGAATCACACCACCTCTTTACCTGCCCTGCACTTAGCGTCCTGCATAGTACCTATTGCAGGCGTTCACGAACAGGCCAAAATAATAGTTTCCCATTCCCTTACATGTTGATTGTTAGGTAATGTTTTGTTCATCCAACCAAACAACCCCCCCCCCCCTCCCAACCGCTCCAAATATTTTAAAAAAAAATTTTTAAACCACCACCACCATTGCACCACCGCCGCCGCCACCACCACCACCACCACCACCAAAAACAACAACAACTACAACAACAACAATAACAGCAGCAGCAGCAACAACAACAACAGCAACCTCAACAAAACTATGCAAGCGATCCATTCAACTCTCGCAGTTACTCTCCATACTTTGCACAACGACGCTCACCTAAATAGCAAAGCAGCAACGTCATCAGATTCAGCGTTCAATCCATCAAGAATAATTTCGTCTTTCTTTAAGAAAGCTGCCACATAGCCCACAATCTTGTTGTTCTGCGACTTGTTTCTGGCCACCAGTAGTCTAGAACAGACGGCTAAAGTGGACACAAACAAACTGTTATCGTAACCTCTCAGGCGATGGTCAAACTGAATTAGATCCTCCAGACTGGATTCATCTAAAGGTGCGATAGAAATGTCGTCTGCCACACCCTTGATCGTCTTCACCTTGTTGTCTAGAAGCTGAACATCGGTAACTATGTGACTTATTATGTGGCCTTGCTGGGGTTCCGACAGTTTGAAGCCAAGATTGCTGGGGAAAGAATGTTTTATAAAGATGTAAAATTGTGGAAAATGTATTTTTAAATAATAAATGATAATGATTGCATTTACATAGCGTATGTCCACGCTCTACAGCCTGCTCTCTGCACTCTACAACTAGTATTATCCCAAAAGACTCTAAAACACTCTGAAATATTCTCGGCTTTCCGAGAACTATACAGTGCAAGCAGCGGATTACACGCGCTCAAACACAAACAAACAGACAAGATTTTTTCGATGTCTATATCCCGGCACCGATTCCAACCAGGGTAAATTGAAGAAAATTCGTGTAAAAGTGCCTTTCCCAAGGACAAAACATCGGGGCGCTGTCGGGATTCGACACACACCCTTAGGGTTGCGAGTCAGAGAGCCTTACGACAAGGCATATGGAACACAATTGAGTAATACATGCCGAAGATCAGAGGTGTTACGAAATGGAAATACACAAATAAAAGAAGGAGGGGAGATCAGGACAACAGATGTTTGATGGTAAAAGGAGCAAACCACACCAGAGCATCCACCAACCACTCACTTTCCTATTCTACTAGGGTTTCGATTCTCATACAAACACATAATATAATTAAAAAGGCTTAAGGCACAAAATAGCAACTACAGTCCACGCCGGCTTTAAGCACGGTCATCGGGAGAAAGTGAAAGCTGAAGCGTGCTTGATGCCGAAGCGTGCTTGAGTGCGAAGTAGATATAATCCAGTCCAGAGATTATCATGTAAAAAATTTCCTGTGCTATTTCCCTTTGTAAGTAGGCCTATAGTGGTCCTGCAAAAGTGTGCACTGTTATTTTTACCGGCCATGGTAGTTTTCATTTGTTTGTTTGTTCGTTTTGTTTTGTGGTCGAATTGGAAAATGAAAACTTAATTTAGATGGCCAGTTATGCTACAGCACACGAGGCCCACACACTGCCTGAACGTACCACTACCCGCTGTACCACACTCATACCACTGCCTTAACCCCCACCCCCCCACCCCCCACCCCCAAAAAAACCCCAACAAAAAACCATGGCCTTTGATCCCACCTCGAGCGTGATACCGAATCAGAATTATCGGATAGTGAGGGACAATAAGGTGAAATCGCAGCCTGCCTCCTTTTCTCATCTCCCCGACTCTCTTTGTATTTGGGGGGGGGGGGGGGGGTTGAGTGTAGCTTTGCCCTTGGCGAGATCCTAAGTCCACGTGCGCGGCTGTGAGCATCTACCGCCTTCCTCTCCGCACATGTGTGTGTGTCCATCACTTGCCCTGTTTTTATTTCTCTTAACACACTCACTGCTGAGGTGTAGTCTGTTCGAACTTCGATGGGTCAACATGAAAGTATTGACTGTCTTGTAAATGAAGCATGCCTGAAGCCGAAGTTACCGTGCTTAAAGGCGTGTAATTCATATATATCAAAAATTCAGTAAGAGCTGTTTAGCGTGCCTGAGCCCGAAACGTACTTTATGCCGGCGTGGACTGCACCAAATCAGCGAAGAATGTGGTCCGCCCTCTCAAATTTTTCGTCTTATCGGAGGACTTCCTAAGTATAAGTAAATTTAACCTTTACCCACCCCCCCCCCCCCCCCCGAACCCTTTTCCATTTTTAAAATAAGTCTAAAGCGTCATTTCCGCATGACTTCACTTCACTGCAACCCAAAGTGGCCCCAGGAAGACAGAATAATACCAACAAAAACACCACCAACAATAATAATATTAATAATAATAATAATAATAATAATAATAATAATAATAATAATAATAATAATAATACATTTGCGCACTAGGTCAAGTAAGGTCCGACGCTTCGGGGGGGGGGGGCTGAATTTTACCTTATTTTTAAACCAAACCTAAGAGTAACCCTAGATTCCTTACAGGTAGAACTTGTTAACTGCTGGAAGAGAAACCAGATGAACGATCTTGCGGGGAACCATTTCCAGGATGTCTTCAACTATTCTGCGTCCAAGACCTCTCTTCTGCATGGTTTCTTTGACAATCACGTTACCCAAAATGTATTCATCGGCGAAGGTCGGAGTACAGCTGAGTGTTGCTTGTAAAAACGTGGGAGATGAACGGGAAAGTGGGGGCGGGGGAGGGAAGGATTGATCAGTCTTCACACAAAGAGTAGAGTTGTTTTTTTTAAACCATTAATCTTTAAAATTGGCATCAATAGAATATAGCCTACCATCCCTGTTCAAGTTTAGGTACTTCTATTTGACGTATCGTTCCTGGCGAAGCCCACTGGGGCGAGACGTTGAACATACTTCATATTGTCATTAACATTAAAATAGGCTACTCAAATCTCCATCAATTAATAAAAATTATTCATTCACTTTTTTTAAAAATCGCACTTACAACAACAGCAACAATGATGATGATGATGATGATGATGATGATGATGATGATGATGATGATGATGATGATGATGATGATGATGATGATGGTACTTCTATGTTGTTTTACCAGCTACTTCTCCATCTTGAGTCACAGCGACATAGAAATTGTTTGGCTTTTTCTCGCAGAGCATCTTAAACTTCTCTTTGGTCAGGTTCCATCCCAGTCTGGCTATCATATCGAAGGTCTCTTCAACTTCATCCTGCTTGATGTTCCGAATTACGAACTCGCTTCCTCCGTTGTTGGCCATTTCTCCTCAGGAACACGCAACTAAAAATGTTTTAAAAAACACCAAAAAGTGCATGAAATAGAAATAAACATGATGCAATTGCGGTGCGGTCACTGAAATCCAAAGCCTACGATTTTTTTAAACTTTAAAAGGAGAGAGAGAGAGGGGGGAGGAGACAGACAGACAGCAGACAGACAGACAGACAGACAGACAGACAGACAGACAGACAGACAGACAGACAGATGCTAGCCAGGTAACTTCCTAGAGATTGTGCCCAGAATCATATTCTGTCAGGAAAGAATTTTGTAGCAGGAACACAACTATTCAATTCCTCAGTTTTTGGACCATTTGTTATTGTAAGGACTAAAATAGAGGCTGCTATTAGTATTAGTATAAAGATACTTCTACAGCGACCAGGGGCGAAGACTGACTTGTTTGACAGGGTAATCAAAGTCAGATGGGACCAGTATAGAGCCTGGAGATGGAGATATCACACAAGAATCTTACTCGAGGCGGCAACACTGCGTTGCGATTGAAAAATGAAAACAAATCCTGACTTCAAGTTACATATGCATGTTCAACCGCTAAAAGAAGCGGTTAAGTATCTCATAAATATTATTCCAACAATCATTAAATCTGTCTTTAGATGTGAATACGCAAACACAAAGCAAAGAAGCAGAGATGTCAGTTCTACAAAATGTAATACCAGCGAGACTAAACTCTTAGGTAGAACATGACAATTATCAATTTTATTTTTTTTCACATTTGGCTGTTTTTTGTCTTGCGTTTCGCGGCCAGGAGCCGGTGTCATAATCGAGGTCACGATCTGATTGAAGCACCCAAATTTTATTTTTATAGCATGTCCTACATTTTAGACTACACGTACTTTATATGGTCGCTTTTAAGGACATAAGCAGGCTAACCTAGATTTCGGAGGTTTCTAGAAATCTTGAGCTACACCAAAAGCGGGCATTGCCCTACCTAAAGGAAAAGTTTGGTTTCATTGGTGTGTGTATATGTTTGTTTGACTATAGAGAAAACTCTCCTTGTCTTTTAAAGAAACTGAACAAGGTGCAAAAACTTAACCTTCGATTTTCTCAAAACAACATTTTTCGGGATAGCCCCCTTATACTTAAAAGCGACCATATTATTCACGTGAAAGGAAAAGCGTAAAGACCCAAAATACTAAATTTCATACCTAAACGAAAAGTGGTATTTTTTTGGTTAGGGGAGGGTGGAGGGCGGGGGCAATATAGATTAGTTTTAGTTTTGCTGAACTAAGCTAATTTGTTGAGAAAGAGCATGGTTATACATGGTTATAACTGATTGTATCCTCAAGCTTTGGAACACAGGCATAATAAGCACACTTTAGTGACTATAGACCTAATAATAGTCGAACACTTAGTAAAGACAATCGGTTTCTTTCACAATTAATACGTATCAAGTACTTACAGTACAATTGTAATCAAAACGTTCCGCAAGGGACAAGAGCTCCGACCTACTTCCTCCTGTGCGTGCACGTCGTTGGGAAAGCTTTATCGTAGCCTACGACTTGTCGTAACGTTCAACAACTCACTTGTTCAACTTCATGCAAAGACCGAGAAAATCTGACCCAAGTAATGAAAGCCCCGGTTTCACGTTGTTGCATAATTCTCTTGCCGTACCTTGGTACGAGTTTCAAGAAGACGAGGACAGGCAGATGAGAGAGAGAGAGAGAGAGAGAGGGGGGGGGAGGAGGAGGAGAAGGGGAAGGAGGAGGAAGAGGCAAGGACTCCACAACGCGGTCAGAAAAGCTTCAGCTTTAATCGAACGACTTGCTTTGTGGTGGGCCAAGAATCGAGAGAGAGGGGGGAGGGAGGGGGGGAGAAAGAGAGAGAGATGGGGGGGGGGGGGGCGAGGACTCTACAATGTGGTCAGAGAAGCTTTATCGAACGCCTTTTTGTGGTGGGCCAAGAATCGACCCCAGAACCGATCCCCGCGGTTATTGCTTCTGAGGAGAAGAACCGATTTCTTTTCAACGGTTACCGGTCATTTTATTATTATTTTTTTTTTTACAGAATGTATTTGTGAGAAAAAATGCTGGTACCTTGCAATGTTCTGAAATCGAGGTTATCCTGAATCTTGAAACTATGTCTTCTACTTAAAAGAAGACTAAAAAGACTAACCAGGGATATCTTATATATACAATCATTGTCAAAGATTATTACATAGATCTTGTATACAGGGGCGAAGGCTGACTTGTTTGACAGGGTAATCAAAGTCAGATGGGACCAGTATAGAGCCTGGAGATGGAGATATCACACAAGAATCTTACTCGAGGTGGCAACACTGCGTTGCGATTGAAAAATGAAAACAAATCCTGACTTCATGTTGTATGCATGTTCAACCGCTAAAATAATCGGGAAAGTACCTCATAAATATTTTTTTCCAACAAACATTAAATCTTTAGATGTGAATACACAAACACAAAACAAAGAAGCAGAGATGTCAGTTCTACAAAATGTAATACCAGCGAGACTAAACTCTTTTGTAGAACACGACAATTATTAATTTTTTTTTTCACATTTGGCTGTTTTTGTCTTGCGTTTCGCGGCCAGGAGCCGGAGTCATAATCGAGGTCACGATCTGATTATAGGACGGTAAAAAGTAGAGGGAAAAAAAAAACAAGCACTTGCAGCAATGAAGGTATTATTAGGAGTTAGTTCCCATCACATCTGTGAGGTAGACTCGACCAGTGTAATAGTTCGCTTATATAATAAGTGCTTGTGACTGCGTATAACTGTTGCCCGAAAGGGGTGAACAAGGTATATGTGGCAATGAAACAGTTTTGACTGTTGCACACTTGTTCCCTTCAACTTAACTCTTTTGGTAGACTCTTCCAGCCTCACTGTAGGCTTACTTAATCAAAGCTTCCAATCTTCAGGATCCATCCCAGAGTCTGTCTGCTTATACTCTCCATCATAATCTGGTGTGAGATCCGTCGGACTGGTCCGCACAGGTGGCAGTGTTTCCCTTCTCTTTGGATCCCCTTCTCCTTCAATCTTCCTTGGGTGTGGTAACTACTATCTTCCCTATTGTTCCTCAAATTTTCCCTTACAGCGGTTAGGATGGTTGGTGGGTCCAGTGTCAAATTCCCTCCCACTTTTGCTTCTCCAGCCAGCTCGTCTGCTCTCTCGTTGCCGGTTACCCCTGCGTAGCCGGGGCAAAAGATCCAGGCCACTCTTTCCGGGCTGCTCTACCTGATCGTAGCCTTAATACAAGCCTTACTCAGGTCCAGCGTGAGCCAAGCCAGGGCAAAATCAAAACAAATCCCTTGACTGTGCAAGGACTTAACAAGGCCGGATCTGAATTCTGGAATTTTCTGCGTGGCCAGTGTGCTGAATAGGTATGTTAATAAAAGAAAATAGTAACAAGGTCAAGAGACAATGTTCTGGACTTTATTGAAATATAATATACAACAACAAAAAACATCAATGCCTTTAGAAAATTAAGTGCAAAGAGTACAGTAACAGACAACTCAAGCCCATGAGCAGCTCGTTAATTTCGCGAAAAACTGTGGCGCAAATGCCGATAGGAACAGTGCCATTGCAAAAACAAGGTATTCTTTAAAAAAATATTAATCCGTCTATTCACGGAAGAAGTTGATATTGTGTGTGTGGGGGGGGGGGGGGGGGAGGGGTGGTGGTGTCAGCAGAGCTGTACTATGAAGTGTAATGACAGTTAGTACCGGTAATTGGGTTTGGACTCGATTCCTACGATTCCTAGCTTTCGATATTTGGGAATCAGCGATTCTGTAGCCTACAGCCAAAGATAGTGAATAACAAGATGGGCCACTCAGCCAAAAAAGTGTCCGCAGGAAGTATGCTCTTTGCTTCAGATAGCGCTGCAGTCTGTTTTGAAGCTCTCTTTCGTTTTTCCAGAAGAAGAATAGGAATAACACCTCCTTGCGTGCGCAGATCGACTGCTGTTCATCAGCAGTTCGGGTACGTTCAGTGCGGAGTTTTAGGTTTTTTTTATTTTAATGACCTCTCGCCTTTCATTCTAAAGTCAAATTAAACGAAGAAAACCATCACCCTTTTCTCCGGAAGAGGTTTTTTGTCAGCGTAACCATTTTTTAAAAAGTGTTCTTCCGTAATTTATCCCAAAACTTGCTAGTTTCACTTTGATTTTTTAAAACTCAAGTAGGGTAACTCTGTTCGCAAAAGTGCGCTTTTGTGAAGAGGGCGCCACCAAATTTTGAGGACACTTTTTTAATTGGCTCAAAGAGAGAAGTGGCCCATCTTGTTATGTACTATCATTGCTACAGCTCAGCTCTGCACAAAGAAAAACAAAACTATAGATCTAGTTAGACTGCCCGGGGTTTCTCACTCTTATAAATACTTGCCGTACCTTGGTATAATAATAGTATTAGAAAAAAAGCAATACAGTACTTTGGTACGCAACCAGACCATTATGAAGGACGTAGACCCAAAAGAAAGATAGGTTGGTTGTTGTTGGGTTGTTGTTGTTGTTTTGTTTTTGTTTTGTTTTGTTTTTGGGGGGGGGGTTCTTGTTGTTGGGGTTTTTTTTATTTGGTAAGTGTTTTACGACGCTCGCAACTGCATAAGGTCATATGAGCGCGCGAGACTCACTAAACATTTTCAGTTCGTAGGACATTTTGAATTTTGTCCGGGTGGCGGCCGAAACTTACTCATATCGATTTTAGACCAACAAGGGATCTTTAACGTGCGCAACTTGCACACGGGACCTCCGAGATTTTTCGCCCTTGTCCGAGAGGGCTAGGTGTAGATTTATATCTTTACTACCGGAAGATCGGGGGTGTGGCTGATTCGAAAGACAGCAGTAAGAAGGAGCCAAGGAGTAGCAGTAGAACGGCTGCAGAAAGAGTCAGGAGCCCAGAGGAGGGGGTAAAGGAGATGAGGGTGTGGGGGCAGAAAATGGAGACGAAAGCAGAAGACAGAATATTTCTAGAGAGCAGGAAAAGAGGTGAAAGGAGACAGTTATAGAGAAGAAAATGTATCTGTCGCTACCCGAACTCGAACCTGGACCTTTGAATGAGAAGCGAACACCTTAACCTCTAGGCCATGAGAGACCCCAAGCAAGATGTGGGGCAAAAGGGCCAAGAGCGGATAAAGAACAACGTGGACCGATAACATCATGGTATGGACTGTCTAAGTATGACAGTATATAACGGCAACTAGAAACGATAAGTTTTGGCGGGTCTTTGCCCGCCTACCCCTGAGCCAGATATGACACCTCCAGGTATCCAGCATGAGACCGGAAAAGGGTGTCCCTGTGGGAAATCTCACCCCAAAAAACTTGACGTAGAAATAAATTAACAAAAAGGGCAATTATTGTTCAAACACCCCTAGAAACAGACCTGACTTCAAAATTAATCCCTTTACACGGGAAAGCCTAGCTACTGACAGAACCAGCTTGAGTGAGCAATCACAGAAGGCAGTAATCTTAATTTATGAAACTTTATAACATTTAGTGCTGAATTCAAGAGAGAAGCCTGCAAACTCCACAAAATAGCTCATTGGCCATAGCAGAGACCGAAAGTAATCTAAATCCGTATTTCTTCTATATCCCCCTCAGAAATAGTAATATTGTTCTTCTGCAGATGTATCGGTCATCGTCAAATATTTGCTGACGAAATACAAGTTTAACTTTTGTATAAATTTCACAAGGCAAGACCAAGTTAGTGGATAAGAGAGAGAGAGAGAGAGAGAGAGAGAGAGAGAGAGAGAGAGAGAGAGAGAGAGAGAGGAGAGAGAGAGGGAGAGAGAGAGCGAGAGAGAGAGAGAGAGCGAGAGAGAGAGAGAGAGAGAGAGAGAGAGAAAGAGAGAGAGAGAGAGAGAGAGAGAGAGAGAGAGAGAGAGAGAGAGAAGTGGGTAGGCAGCAGGGGCTGTCCGTTAACTGAGTAAGACTGGCGGAGCTGGTCACTTTATATCACTTTATGAGTGATTTATTGCTGATAATATTTATCTTATTCAGCTTCAAGTAAATCCAGTCTAATATTTATCAACATTCAAAAAACACTTTGCCGAATTGGAAGCGCCCCAAAAACTCCAGTAGGTATTCAACACAGGCTGGCGGCTATAGTGCGATCAAAAATTCGAGGCGCATCTTATCCTCAAATATCTCTTTAACTGGAAAAACAATGTCACCCATATTTTGCACCGCAGTTTTGTACCAATGTAGGCTAGATTAAAAAACTTTTCTTCTTAAATGTATATAAAATACTGCAAATCTCCGCCACGCGTAAAATGGGATTGTTTACAGCCCTTTTTACCGATTCTCCCACACTTTTTGCATAAGCATTATATATGGCTTACCTTACAGTTCACCAATGACACATTTTATTAGCAAAACTTGTTACAAGAAATGAATTTTATAATGAACATATTTTTTTTCAACGAAACATTATCAAAACCTGCGTCCAATTAGCTTAATGTCGTGATTAGGAAAAAATGCCGACTTGTGATATTGCCCCAGCTGTATACCTTATGAAAACTAAGCTGCAGAAATCATCCACTTGTATTTTCTAAAATTAGTTTCATTAATTAAGGAATTTTCTAGATCACAGCTTACAGTTATTTACAAAAATATTGATTTGTTAAGGC